TGGCCTACTGGTGGATTATTCATCGGCAGTTCCTCACCACATCAAGTTAGCCGTCGCTCAATCTCAATTCCTAAGGGCACAGCGACTATCGTCTAACCCCATGATGCAAGCCGAGAGCGAACAAAAAATACACAAACAACTGCGCATAAATAACTACCCAGCCAGTATCATATCGGAAGCAAGGGAAGCTGCCAGGAAACCTCGGCGTAGACGACGCGGTAATCCTCGCTCTGCCTTCCTTAAACTACCGTTCAAGTCCGATGAAGTACACCACCATGTGAACAAAGCAATACGGAAATACAAGTTGCCGGTACGTGTCGTATACGAGCACTCGGGCAGCCTCAGGCGTCAACTGTGCCGTTCGGCGCTGTCACCACCCAAGTGCGTAAACGAGCCCAACATTACTGAAAAAAGACGAAGAGGACGTCCACTAGGGCCTTGCATTACCTGTCAGTCTGGAGGCGAACGAGTATGTATGACAAAGAATGTAGTCTACGAATTGCAATGCAAATGGTGCCGGGAAACGTATGTTGGGGAGACGGAACGCTCCTTGGAAACAAGAATTCGGGAGCACAATGGCGAGGCACGCCGTCGCACTCTCGATAAGCCATGGGGTGACCACGTGCGCGACAAACATTCTGGCGAGAGTATAGCTGCTGCGGATAGTGTGTTCTCGGCTGTGTCAGTCCTGGCAAGGGCAGGCGACAGAGCAAGCAGAAAACTGCGAGAAGCTGTTGAAATCCGCAACTTGCGGCCGCAAGTAAACACTAATGCTGGCTGGGCACTACTGTGAATATATTATCGTATCTGGATATTAATATATCACCAATCCCTTTCGCCACCTTTGTAGCTGACACATTTGGCGCAAACACAGCACAGCACAGTATATTTGCTGCTCCTTTGTAGAGTGCACATCATTGCAAACCTGATGAGGGCTATATGCCGAAACGTTGTTTTAACTACGAAAATGTGTTCGAACGTTGCAGTGTAAATAGAAGGGAGCGAGTCCGCTCCATCTGTAATTCTACAAAATCTCAATACAAAAAATTTAACAAAACGCCAAGAATCTGGAGAAAAAGACTCAATCCAATTCTTTGTTGCCACAACGGGAGGAACAGGCCTGTGTGTGCTTGAATGATGCATCGCAGCATACTAATCCACATTCCTTCCATTTATCTGGTGCGTCCAGAGCGTGACGATGTCGAGACCAGATGGTCGACGGAGCACCTGGCCCCCAGCACCATGGCTGCTGCATGTTCCCATTGCGTGCACCACATGGCTTTTAGTAAAAAACAATCCGTGCAGATCTACCAGCAACTTACCTGGACTTGGAGGACAAGGTGCGTATTCGTTGTCGAAAGTTCTGACCACCAGACGTCTTGGTGCTGGATAGCTCCGACACATTCCTGAAGTACAGAACGACGTGGGATTTTCACCTGATTGCTATTCTACAAACTATCCATGTACAGCCAACTTTGCATATAACGACACTCGGCGGGGCATCAGAAAAGTTTCCTTATTCGCGAAGTGTCCTTATACCCAAAATCTCATTATGTGTATTACAGTTAGATGGGACTTTGCCCTGGGTATGGAAATTCTGTCGTTATTCGCGAATTGTCGTTATATCCGCCGTCGTTATTAGCGAAGTGGACTGTACATATAGTGCGAACCTTACACGTTCCCAGGTTTCGTATTTAGCAAATGAATACAGCGAAACCTGTCACCCGTGGACTGGCTTCAGCAGCTTTCATGGCACTCAATGCTTCCTCTTGCTTTAAAGTAGGCGTGCACTTTCATGTCTGGCGACAATTGGGTAGGACGTACTTCCAGCTAGCTGGTGTGAAGCTATGTCTCGAGGAAGAGGCACAGAGATAGATAGAAAGATAGATAGAAAGATAGATTGAAAGATAGATAGAAAGATAGAAAGAAGAGAGGGGAGGGAAAAAGAAAGGAAGAGAGATAGATAGATCATAGAGAGAGAGAGAGAGGGGGGGGGGGGGGGTTGTAAAGGTTAAGTCCCTTAGTTAGCCTCCAGAGTCCAAACGTATTTGAAACCAGTCACTCACCTTGGCTTATGCAGTGATGAAGAGCGAGAGCGTGACGATGATGTCTTCTCTACTCCTAAGGTAGCTGCCATGGCAACATCGGAGTCCTCACTGCCGGCCTTCATGTCATCAGCTCTCCTGGTGCGGGCAAACATGGCACATGACATTTGGCCCAGAATCTGCGAAAACCAGGCTTAGGGTGAAATTTCACAAAATGACTTTTTCCCATTTTCAGCTTCTACTGGGCATGGGAGGTCAGGAGACAAAATATTACAGGTGTGGGTCGACTCATAGTGGTATTAAAAGTATCTCAAACACACCAGGGTATTGTGTTAAAAAATCCAAAAAAAACACAAAATTGTTATCACAGGAAAGAAATGAAGAGAGATCCACCAGAGTGAAGGAAGAGACATGGATGATTTTTGTTTAGGTGACATGACAAGGTAGGCATGTGGGGGCAGGCTTGTTGTGGCCCCTTGGTGCTGCAGGCTGTAGTGGCCATGCACAGTTCTGCATGAATTTTGTTTGCACCTCACTCAGCACATTCTGGGGCTGCATACATGTACTGGCATGCTCTGGCGCTACACACCACAAGGAAACCCGACTCCAGTTGAGATGGCACCTTTTGAAGGGTGAATCTAGTACAACTATTCAAAAACAAGCAAGAACACAGCCTTTCAAACTGTTCCACTGTTCGTACTATGCGCATAGTGATAGTGTGCTGGCGTGCTGCAGTGTCTGCTTGGTGCTGACCAGCAAGTGAAATCTCGGCACGCCGTACAATCCCTTGCAGCTAGCTGTCCAGCGAGGAAAGTCTCGAGTGGAGGCCTCTCGATCTGCTCGCTCATTCGCCTGGCATTCAGTAGCACTTCATCGCCAAGGACTTCAATTCAAAACAGTTTTCACACTGCGCTTCTAGCCTTTTTCCTCGTGAACTTGCTGCAAACGTATGAGCTCTGCTGCGCGTGTTCCCTTTGCGTGAGGCCCAGAAACAGCTAGTATCTCCATACTTCGATTGGCTGGGTCGATGCCGTCCAGGTTCTCCTCGCTATCGCCATCACGACTCTAACTGGAGACGATTTCTTCACCATTTTCCGCAAGCAGCAGCTAGCGCAGAAATTTCGCCATCCCTGAGTGAAGGAGATGGAATCCGTTCGATCAGCTCAAAAACTCTTCGTTGTGACTAGAGAAGTAGCAGGGAATATTCTACCGGAAGCCCTTTGACTTCCCTGACTGCTGAAACCCTTCCTGCCATGACTGCTACTTCTTCAAACAAGCGAGATTCTCTTTGGTTCCACTTCACTGCACTCGAGCGTCCACGCGACACAACCTTTTTACAAAACATCATTTTTCCATTGCGCGAAATCACGCGACACCTGTACATTTTCAATCTGCGGGATGAAGATGACGACGTCCATGCATCAGGTATCAGGGGGTAGTAAGATACTGGTATATTACTACTCCACGCCTCAAATCGTGCTGTCAAGCGTATGCGGGGGAGTGTAGCATGCCATCCCTTACACTTTCCAGCTCAGGGTTACCCTCGCTACCAATGGACGAAATTTCAGGGTCACAGCTTGCGCAACGGCTTTGTCCTGTGCGAATGGCCACTCGACATACTCAGCACAAATTTTCTATTGCATGCATGCACAAAATGTTCAACTTTCGTATTTTTGGCGACTTTACCACCGTCGTGGAGGCTGGTTGGTGAGGAGCAGGTAGCCATCCCTTGTGGAATCAAACACATGGTTCCACAGTGTGACTGATTCCGCAAGAGCCAGGTCCATACGAGGAACATTCGCTTTGTCTTTTACCATCGAAGTAAGTCACTTTTCTTGTTCTCAGTGTTTTTTACGTTCAACGTTTCTGAGATTTTTGAATTATTCACTTTTCATTCTTTCATACTTTATTTCTTCATGTTCACTGCCTCACTTGCCTTCTGATCTGGAGAATGTGACGGAGGTGACTGTTGGTTACTGCCTGGTATAACGGTTGTCGTGCTATTGCTGTATTTCCGTCCTTCTCGCGACGTTGTAGATCATAAACAATTTGAAATCACATGAATTGTACTTACCGTCGTGCGTGCGGTATTAGGAAACACTGTGCAGATTAGATCGTCGCAATGTATCTATATGTGTGTCTGGTCATCCTGTGCCACGCAAGAACTCCAACCAGACGCATTCGTCCTCGGCCCTGTTGATCGATTGTCCACTCGTCTTTCCTTGAAGAACGATCGATCAAAAAAAATCGAGCTCGAGGACTTTTTGCAAAAAAAAGGCTGAAAAAAGGAAGAAAAAACGGTGCTCAGAATGAGATTCGAGTACACAACCATGGTCCCAGCAGTTTATGTGGATGTCGCTCATAGATGCGCGATTTCGCGCAATGTCAAAAAAATGATTTTCACCCTAAGCCTGGTTTTCGCAGAAGTTGGGCCATTTGGTGTTTGCCAATGTTTTGGCCATGACAAGCAATGTACAGTTGCGCTCGGTGAAATTCAACCAAGAGTGCAAATTTGGCGCCCTCAAGTTCCACAGCCCTTCTCGCACCGACACAAGTGCGATTGCGACTGGACGTACACATGTTCCTCTACAGTGATGTGATCGGAACTGGCACAGGGCGACAGTTTTGTTCTTCGGGTCGGATTTCACGGAACACAACTGTAGCAGAGAAATTATGGTTTTTATGTTGCCCATTTCGCCAGGTGTGTTTTAACCACCATTTCTCTGCTATAATTATTATTGCGATGCTGCTGTACTTGAAGTGTCTCTCTCTCTCTCTCTCTCTCTCTCTCTCTCTCTCTCTCTCTCTCTCTCTCTCTCTCTCTCTCTCTCTCTCTCTCTCTCACACACACACACACACACACACACACACACACACACACACACACACACACACACACACACACACACACACACACACACACACACACACACACACACACACACACACACACCATTGGACCATTGGACGCCCATCGCCGAAGGCGATGATAGCGATGCTACAGCAGAAGCCATAGCAGCTTGTGCTGGGATTGCACCATTCAACAACTTGCAAGGCTGAAAAATTGACCGCCACTATTCAGCTTGGTCTACACCACACAGCTATGAAGTGGCTTTTTCTGGCCAGTGAATCCTTACTTTTTGGTCTTTTTTCATTTTTTTTCCGCACACACATCACACCACATACTCCGGCATGCACTGGCTGTTGGTAACCACCCAGGAGAATGAAAGAAAAGTCAGGAGAAGTCTGAGAAAGAGAAGAAAGACATGTGTGACCATAATCGTCGGGAATCAAACCCGCAACCATGGCCAGCAATCAAGGACATCTGAGAGTTGTAATTTTTGTACTCCTCCGAGGTGTGATTTTTGGCGTGCTGGGCCAAGCACAAGGAAGCCATCTGCAAAAAAACTGCAGAAAATGGTTGTTGTTTGATCCTTTGGTGTAATCTTTGTTTCTAGTCGAAGCTAGTTGCTGTTTGGAGCAGAAACGCTGAAATTGACTATTTTCTGCATGTACTCATACATGTACTCATGTACTCAGGCATGCAGTCTCACTCGTATTTTAGCTCTTTTTCTGGAATGGATGCTGCTCTGCGCCCCTTGGTGAACATTTCCTGCGCTCGTGGAGCAGCTGAAAAGGACCACTGGTATGTCTGGTTCCTGGTTTGAAAGTGGAGAGTCGACTTTTGTGCCTTGAAAAAGGAGTAGAGAGCGATAAAGGTACGTCTGTGGCTGATTTTTGAGTGCTCCTCGTACATTTTTGATCGTGATAGAAATTCTCAGACCAAAGTCAGACCAAAGTCAGCGCGATGATGGTCGTACAGTTTTCTTGTGAATTTTTTAGTTGTTTCATCTCGTATCTATGTCAGTATCGTGATGGTGAAGTGGAGAGGGTGATTTTCTTCCTCTAGGCTTCGTTCGGCCGACTTTGCTTCGTCCTCGTTGAAAAGTGATCCTGAAAAAAGGTCGATTCGCAAAATTATGTTGATTTTCAATGTACGAGATGACATGCGATTGCTGGCTATGCTATCGCTTGGAAATCGCTGCACATACCACTGCACCATATGGGACACACACACACACACACACACACACACACACACACACACACACACACACACACACACACACACACACATACACATACACACATGTCCACACACACACACACACACACATGTCCACACATGCATGCACTGGAGACCTCACCCACCCTTCTCTACCTACCATATTTGTAGCACCAGGTCTTCATTTAGGAGATTTGACACATTTCTGCACAATGTAAGGGCAAGGGGGAGGCAAGAGTCACAAGATCAAAACAACATAATTATCTGGATGGATAGCAGGCACAGTTTTGACACAGTGGATACAGCACAGCTTAGTTATGAAACCTGTCCAAGCCGACCGCTCAACGGACGTTCAACATGTGGTCCCCAATTACAGGTGGTCTTCGTATCCAGGGTCACATGACTGGAAATAGCAGCCCTTGGACCTAGTTGTAGTGGTCCTCCAGGACGGGTAGTCACCTTGTCAGAGTGGTCGCCTTGATATGTTTTACTGTAGTTATGAACACATGCGCACTGCTATTTCACACGCACAATCCAAATTAACATCTCGCCGCTGAGCACTCGCTAAATGATCAGAGGGTAAACTATTTTGCTTTTTGTTTTTAAATACACACATACCTCGGTTATCCGGACCCCGAAGTTACGGGCACTGCGGTCTACCGGGTGTTGTTTTATTATATTATTATGTACGCTATCCTATATGCACCCACCCGCGTGCATCTGTCTTTTTGTACGCAGCTTACGTCAGCTTACGTCATGCACTCGTATTTGGCATGCACGCATGACTACACATTGAGCATGCTGATTCCGTTGTGCTGTTCTTTGTTTTGTGCTTCTTTTCCACTCGCTCCTCGATGGAGACTACTAGTATTCATTTAGGATAAACCAATACGTTTATCACACCGGGCACCCTTTGGACGAATTTAAGTGAAAATATGACTACTCTTTTGTCACTTTTTGGAACAAAGTGACATCACATGCCTTATCTATGGCCCTTCCCCAACAAAAAATGTACATGTATGTGATTCGGAGTCACCAACATTTCAAAGTTACGGGCAGTGCCCGGTCCCGGACTGCCCAGATAAGCGAGGTACGAGTGCGTACAGTATTTTCTGGAGCATAAGCTGCACCTCCGTTTTTTTGGCCACGAAATACAGATCCACCCTACTTATCACCGTTAGTTTGATCATCGAAGTATAAGCCGGAACCCCTTTCTTGGGTGAGTGTTCAGTGTTCAGAGTGCGGCTTATACGCTGGAAAATACAGTACTAGTATTACAGTAAAACCTGGTTTGAGCAACCACCCCACGGTGCAAGGAAAAGCGGTTGTTAAAGCCAGGTGGTCTTTAGAACCAGGTCCCACAGTGTCTGTGTAGAACTGTCTGTGCATGGATAAACGCTCGTTAAGAGCAGGTGGTCGCTAAAACGAGGGGTCGCTTACACCAGCTTTTACTGTATTTTGCTCTTACAGCTGAGGAATGGGTGTACAGTAAAACCTGTCAAGGCGACTACTTGGATAAGGTGACCAAGTATCCAAGGGCACCACAATCATCAGGACCAAGGGTTGTCAATTTCCGTCAAATGACACTGGATGAGGAGACCACCTGTACACAGCGACCACAGTTTGGAGGTCCCTTGAGCGGTCGCCTTAGACAGGTTTCACTTTGTTATATCTTGGTCTTACAGCTGCACCCGGCTGCCGTCCCACTCTGGTGAGTCCTCGCAGTCAACCATTAGGTGGGAGTACAGGTGAGTTGCGGATATCTGCTCCTCGAGTTTCTGCTTTTCACGCACGGCGCGGAAGGAGGAGGAGGTGGACGAGGAGGATGTGGAGGAAGAAGGCTGGCTCTGAGAGGGCCTGACCAGGGCTCTCCAGAAGAGTTGACTCTTGATGGCTGCAGTGAGTTAGTGGTATGGAGAAAAGACACCAATTGAATCAGGTCAGCTAGTAATGGACTGCTAACACGTTACAGGACGACCGAAAGCAGTTTCTGATTGGTCCGGTAGTACCGTAAGACCGGATATTATTTTAACGTCAATTAAAGTTAACGATCTCCGGATTTTTGTGGGTTAGCGAGATGAAATTCTAACGAATTCTGTGTCAAAACCGGCAAATGACTGTACATGTACAGTCAAACCTCTTTAGGACAAACATCAAGGGACCGATGATATTTGTTTGCAATAACGGGAGTTCTTCTCATCCATATGTTGTACCCAGTGAATACACAGGGTTTTATCCAATACAGTTACGAATACTGGTTCTTCTTAGGCAAACATTTGTCTTATCAGTGTTCTTCCTAACGAGGTTTCACTGAACATATCGTTTCGCACATAACGACTTCAAATGTTAACGATTCTGGTCTTACAGTATCCTGGCCTTTCATACAGTTTATGTAGGATGTGGCAGGTACAGTCAGACCTCGCTTATCCGGTGCTTTTTTTATCCAGATCCCTCGCCATCCGGAAGAAAATCGTTGGTTACCGATTTACAGCATATGCCATGCATATGTTGTAGGCCTACAGTATGTGTGTTCGATTATCCGGTTCCCTCGCCTATCCGGATATTTTTTTGTGGAAAACGGATGTGTGCGGTTATGCGAGGTCTGACTGTACACATGCCCTCTACAGCAGTAAACACGTGTTAGGGAGCAAAAAGTTGGTCCGGTAATAATCTCATAAACCGCACCGGTTCCGGCGGGCCTGCGTTACAGAAGTTGTCAAGGCAGAATGCAGTCAGCTTACACCCACACACACATCGATTTACTATCCAGTAGCATTGATATGGTTGGTCCAGCGATGGCTTATACAGCAACATGAACCAAGCCACTAGGCCAACAACGAGTGGTACGACCGGGGGTCGGGGATAGGATTTTTCGGCCAACCGGGCACGTTTTAACACCCAACAGGTGCTCTGACCATCCTGGTCGTGCCATGTGTGACGCCCCTCATTAGACCACGTCACACATGCACACAACGTACACACACACACACACACACACTCACACACACACACACACACACACAAACACACACACTCAGACTCAGACATAGACATGCCCATCGCGGATGTTAGACATAGCAACTTGTGCTGGGATTACACCATTCAACAGCTTGCAAGGATTCATCAGCCTTGCTCACACACACACACACACACACACACACACACACACACACACACACACACACACACACACACACACACACGCACACACACACGCACACACGCACACACACACGCACCGAATGATACACAGTGACTACCATAGCACATATGAAAACATTGTTCACAAACTTGCAACAGGCAAATGCCCTCACCTGTACCAGCACGCGAAGCGGGATGCTTGACAAGTAAAGGACCAATGTCTTTGGCCTTAATCACTGCTAAACTGATGGGTATGAAGTCCTGGTGTATACACACGCACACTCATGCACATAGACACACACAGACAGACACATACAGACACACACACATGCCCACACAAACACACACATGCACAGATGCACACATCCTTGCGCGCATACTAGTGCACATGTTTATGATCACAGATGTTCCTCTATCTCTCCAACCCCCCCCCCCCCACGTATATGTTGTACATGTGGTTGTGTTGTGCATGCGGCTGCGCGTGTAGCTCTTTGTCGTACGTGTGACTGCGCGTGTAGCTCTTTGTCGTACACGTGGCTGCGCGTGTAGCTCTTTGTCGTGCATGTGGCTGCGCTTGTGGCTCTTTGTCGTACACGTGGCTGCGCTTGTGTCTCTTTGTCGTACATGTGGCTGCGTTTGTGTCTCTGTGTCGTACATGCTGCTGCCCCGTGGTACACGCTGCTGCGCTGTCTTGGAACGCTTTGTACATGCCGCTGCACCGTCTTCTGTCCCCTCCGTATGCATTCTTTCTCATCTCGTCCCCGTTGTATACGCATCTTCTCGTCTTGTCTCCTTTGTATTTGTCTGGTTGCCGTCTTGTGTCCGTCGTATTTCCTCGTCTGCCGTCTTTGTCTCCCGTCCCGTTCGGGACTTGTTGTACTATTCCCATGCACCTCTTTCGTCTCCCTCGCCCCACTTTTTCCACACTTTTTCCACGTCCCCACAATATATTCTCTTGTCCTGTCTGGTGGGAGTTCAGTTCTCCAGTCGCCTCTTGAAGTGAAGTACAAGAAAAGCTCTCTCTCAATTTGACTAGTCCGTTAGATGTGTGGCGTGGCGAGGGAATCATAGAAGAGGCAGCTCGTTCTCCAACCCGAGACGACATTTGGCGCCCAACATATCGTATCCACGACCCTGAAGCTCGTCGCCGTCAGCTCGTGTTCCTCTTCTCCCCGCCGTACCGCCGTGTAATCACCAATGACGTACTACGAACGCCCGGGCCCCGCATTGGCGCGCCTCCTCAGGCGAGCACCCGGTCTTGCCAGGTTGATTTGTGTTGTCGTTTCTTCAATTCTTGTAGTCCAAGCGTGCATTGGGTCCCGGCTTAGGTCCGTGGTCCCTTCGATTGTCCGTAGAGTATATGTACCGTAGTTTTGTAGGCCTAGTTTCCAGTGGCTCCGGCCAGTTATTGCAATCCGTACTTCTCGACATCCTAGGCGTAGATCTCCTTGTTTCGTTGTAACTTGCCCTGGGTGAGAATGCCGTGTTGAGCAATTTTGAAAATTTGAAAAAAAAAGAAAGAAAAAAACTGTTTCGCAACGGCATCCGAACAATATCTCGTGTTGTACTATACCTAGTTACTCATGTCGTCGGGGGTTTTAATCCCTCGCACGATAGCCCTTCCGATTACTCTCTTATACATCACACGCACGCCACACTCAGAGGACAGATTATTTTCGTCTTACTCCAAGGAGAGTCTCAGGAAGAAGGCACCCAAAACAACCAGAATGCGCACGATAAGCATGCAAGCATGCGCACAACAACAAGAACATGTACGATAATCTCCAACCGGCGCAGTCCGCGCGCGGTCCGCACCAACGTGCCAAAAGGGGCACACACGTGCCAAAAGGGCAGGGACAACATACTTCCACATGAAAAAAAATGCATCCTCTCCTGAGGATGGGAGAGAAGAAAACAAAACGAGAAGACAGACAGGAGAAAAAGAAATCAAATGTGAACAACATACACATGCAGATACGCAGGGCCAAAACAGTAGGATACATTAGTAACTCCGGACAACGGGGGAAAAGCCAAAGCAAAGGGGTGGAAAGAAAACAGACTGGGCCCACCCATAGAGGGAACCGCCATCTTTCAGGCGTGGGCCCCCGGAAAACAACCACCTCGCCCTGGTGCGAAGCCAAGGCAAACCGACGGTACGGCGAAGACCGCGGCAGCTGAACCGGGTGACCAGTCATCTGACAGCACAGGAGTTGTCCGGAAAACCATCACGCAGCCGATGGGGCTACGAAAACTCACAGATACACACACAGAAAGAAAGAAACAAGGACTGACGCAAACATCTCAGCAATACTAGGAGCCAAAATTCAGACAAGAAAAACCACAAGAAGGAATGGCAGAACAGCAACGTTGAACACGCCTACGGATACAGGGGCAGTCTATCCATGAGGACACCAGATAGCACACAAACAAATCGGTCACCAATACGCAAACAAAAATTAACATAGAAAAACCACAGGGCGCTACCCTGAATAACCACAGGCCTCTAACCTGAAAAAACCACAGGTCTCTAACCTGAAAAAACCCACAGGGATTGAACCTGAATATCACGCGTGAAACACAACCGCTCACGAAACACAAAAAAACACCGTCCTGAACCCTACTGGGACGCACAAAGGCCAGCCAGCAAAACACGGAAACCGAACACCCGCAAGGCGAACCGATACAAATAAGCGCTGGATCCCACCAGCCCACCAGGCAGACCGTGGCTCACCATGATCGGACGCCCCCCTAGGTGAAATGAAGAGACCCACGTGCCAAAACACAAATACCAAACAACACACTCACAGAAATATTGCCACCCGGACCGTCAACGAGAATCTCAGAAGCATGTTACACCACTGGGCGTCAGCCATTCCACATGAGCGGGACAACCAGGCGGAGCACTAAAACGCTCGACACAAAACATGATTACTAGTAAAACGAAAAAGAAAGCACTTGTACTTGAAACTGGAAACGACGGAGTGCCACCACATCGAGTAAATCGATGGGGACATCTACCAAACTGAAACAAATCGGACGACACAGGATCGGAGCAGTCCGACGACACCGAAACGACGTGCACCAGTGCACAACACAGGGCGAGTAAACAAACACGAACAAAGCTACCCATGCTGACTACCATGATGACGTACCAAGCAACACGATGAGCATGCACGACAGCACGGACAACAAACTAAGGTTACTTTCAAGTCAGAAGGTGTGAAAACACAGTGCACACGACCACTCGAACAGCCAGAGGCCGGAGGGCGACAATGTACACTGGTTCAAAACACCGCACACACAACGTGGGCCACAATCATGTACTAACAAGAGCGAGGCTCGAACGAGGTACTTGTACACAAGAGAACAACCCGGGACTTCAATGCCACGAAGCGAAACAATTATTTTGAAAATCCCAAATCGAAGACTAGTACCAGGAGAACTACGTACAAGGTACCAAACATTACGCAGGGCAGACAAAGCATGCTCACCTGAGTAGGAGCTCCGAGGACAGGGTTGAGCAGATGGAGCAAAGCGGAGCCATGGCGAGGACGCGTGGAGAAGACAAGATTTGAAGCCACGGCGAAAACGAAAACGATCTCAGGGTCGTGGGAAACGATGCCACTAGCTGGGCGCCAATTGTCGTCGGGGTTTTTTTTATTCCCTCGCACGATAGCCCTTCCGATTACTCTCTTATTCATTCATCACACGTATGCCACACTCAGAGGACAGATAATCATTGCTGTTCCAAGGAGAGTCTCAGGAAGAAGGCACCATAAGCATGCAAGCATGCGCACAACAACAAGAACATGTACGATAATCTCCAACCGGCGCAGTCCGCGCGCGGTCCGCACCAACGTGCCAAAAGGGGCACACACGTGCCAAAAGGGCAGGGACAACACTCATCTTCATTATAGAGTTGGTGGACAAGCCGTTGATTATTCACTCTCATTGTAATATCAAAAAGTATTCTTTCTAGACCAAAGAGTGGTATATTTGATAACATTTAATAACCATAGAAATATTTACGATACTTCTCCAGACGTTTCGTTGTTCTGAACAACATCGTCAGTGGATAAAGAAAGTTCTTTATCCACTGACGATGTTGTTCAGAACAACGAAACGTCTGGAGAAGTATCGCAAATATTTCTATGGTTATTAAATTTTATCAAATATAGCACTCTTTGGTCTAGAAAGAATACTTTTTTGACATCTTCATTATGTCCCAGCCAACCCAGGGCAAGGTCACTGTTGAGGGCGCAGGCAAGTGGCTGATGCCCAAACCGTTTGCGGGCTCGTCTAGGGAGGACCTGCAATCGTTCCTGAATGACTTTTCACTGTGCCTAGAGGCAAATGGTTATGTCGAGGTCGCACAACCAAACGATACGGTAGATGCTGAATCTAGGGCTAAACTAGAGCTAATGGCCCGGGTAATCCTCTGCAAAAGCTTAACCGGCAGTGCAGCGTTAATGCTGCAGTCCTTGACAGCCGCCGAACGCCTAGATAGAGCCACCATAGAGCAGGCTTTACATGATAGATTTAGGGACAAGGGTAAGGAACTTTTGCGCCAGACCGAGCTCCAGGCTCGCAAACCGCGGGTGGGGGAAACATTGACGGATTTCGGGGACGCCATCCAAGTTTTAGTCGCGAAGGCCTACCCGGGGGCCCCCTCCACCATTGCTAACACAGTTTTGGTCCGGGCTTTTCTAGATGCATTGGACCCGGACATGCGACGACGGGTGGGGGACCACGAGCCAACCACACTATTAAGAGCTGTCCAGAAAGCGGTCGTGTTAGAGACGCAGGATAGGCTACACCCCGCTAGTCAGCCTGTCTTCGTGGCATCCGCTGCGCCTAACGTCGAGTCACGGCTCCATAGTTTAGAAAAATTGTGCGAAACCCACACCCGTCTCCTGGAGACTTTGTGCGAGACAAGGGGCGATCCGGGGTCCATCCGGGGTCCCACCAGCGGGGTCAGGGTCCCCGTTGTTTCGGTTGCGGGAAGTTGGGCACATTAGGGCCGAGTGCCGGCAGCGGCGGCCGCAGCCGCAAGGCCGCCAACAACAATTTCCAAATACGCGCCAGGCGCCCGGAAGACAACAGCCGGGGGTCGGGTAGGCTCCCCCACCCTCACAGTGATTTAAACTAGACGAGGCGGCTGGTGCGGGTCTTCCTGCCGCCTCGACCAAGGAAACGCAGACAAATGAAGAATGTATTGCTGTGGCTTTGCCAATTTATAAAAATGATACCATGGATGTGTGTGACCCTTTCTTCGCTTTGCCTATGGGGGAAACCAATGATTTAGCAGCTTCGGCTGCGCCCGAGTGTCCGGACCTGTTGTCCCCGGCAACCGAGGGTGGTGCTGCTACGGTACAATATGTAGAATGTCCTACTAATGCTGCCTCTGTGTCTGATGCGTGTGATGTATGTGCCTTCGAGCATACACCGGCGGAAGCCCATCTCTGCACTCCACCTGCCGCTTCACTGCCCTCCCCTCCGTCTATTCCGGTCGAGTCCTCGGATGCGCCCTCCCGGTTGGTGCTCTCACGGCCGTCACCGATGCTGTGCCTTTCTACATCCACCGCGCTGGCACCAGTCTCTTCGTGTCAGGTAAGTTAAGTACTGATGTGTGTACTTCTGTAGTATCCTGTCTAGTTGATACGGGGGCGGCTATCACATTGGCAAATTTTGCGGTGGTGCAGAAATTGCACGCAGAGCACTTATTGCGACCTGCATCGGAGTTGGGAGTGTCAGCACTATACACGGCGGGCGGGGAACCTTAGATATGAATTGCTGCTTATCCCTGACATTTCAGTTTGGACACATTTCGTTTACAGCACGGGTTTTGGCAGTCGCTGGGTTAACGGAGGAGTGTTTGTTGGGGGCCAACATTTTGGCAGCCCATGGTTTTTCGCTGCACCTAGATGGGTCACCGCGGTTAACGTTAGCAGGGCACACCGTCCCACTATCTAGGGGCCGGGGGATATAGTGCCAGTGAATTCCGCCAGGTTCGGCGGTGACGTGCAAAGCACGTTGTGGTTAGGGTTTTCGACCCTGATGCTGATAGCAAGTGTTTGCGGTTCAGCGCGGCTGGTTTTAGTGTGCAAACTAGCGTTGGCTTTTACTTTTGTAATTGCATTTATTGTCCGGAGTGGGGTCACGTGGCCTGTGTGTTCCCCTACCCCGGTGGTCGCCCCGAGGGTCTGCCCCCCCCCCCTGCTGCTCCGCCCGAACTTTCCTATTCTATTTTTTTTTTTTTTTTTTTTTTTTTACTGAATACCACAGTGCTATCTCCTTAGTGTCTCCTGTCGTGAATATGCATCACGAATCCGCGTTACGCTCATTATGTCTTTATTTGTTTATGTGTTACATCATGTTGACGTCATGCTGATGTCTTGCTGCACGCATTGCGTGCACCGTTTTGCAGCTCTCAGGCCAGAGCATGCGCAGCGAGCCTGTGGCTCCTTTTTTGCTGCCTTTTCCCTTTTGCATGCTTCACTTGTCTCTACTTGTCTCAACTTGTCTCAAATAAGGTTTTCTGGTGACACTCCTTTTCAAGTCACCTAATCCTTTCAAGTAATACGTGCAATGTCGTTCCATGAACCGGAACCCCTCCATATTTGAGTTACCAAGACGTATTTGTGCGTGGCTATACAAGCTCTCCCACTCAACAGTTCAAAGTTGCGCACATCTCCTGTAGAAATTCCCCCATGGTCGCAGCTGCTGTTGCGGGGCGCGGTCACCACACCTCCCGAGATGATTGGTCTGATAGAAGCTGTTGTGGACTCTGATCTGGGGTATGCCCTACCCGTGCTGTTTGCTCTGTACCGCCGTCTGGTAGTGTCCCCTTGTGTCTAACCAATGTGTCTGATGTGCCGGTGTGGTTGGAGCGTGGCATGCATGTATGTAGGGCAGTTCCTACCGGTGGAGGACCCTCGGCCGGATGTCTCAACAGACGAGGGTGTGGCAGTGGGCGTGCAGTCAGCGACGTCCGCTTCTACCCCAGCGGATCGCTTTGATCTCTCTCGGTTCGCTGGCACTGCGAAACAACGCCAAGCTCTGGTCAGTTTGCTAAACGATTTAACGATGTCATTGCAGTAGATGATTGTGATGTGGGAGAATCCCCCTCTTGACCCATTGCATCGACACCGACTAGTACTCGTACTGCCACGAGCCTCCTCTCAATTTGGTTATTCCTCTCTTTCTTATTTAGCCGCTGACAGCTGGAACTCAGTTCCGCATCGGTCCGCCTTGCTGCTTCACCAAGTCAATTTCGTATCGCAATCCTAGATTGGCTAGGGTACCCCTTAAGAAGACCATAGGTCTGTGGGGACTGCCCTAGAGAAATATGAATAAATACTTTACTACTACTACCGGCGCTACACGCCCAATTTGTCAGGGACCGAGACGAATTTCCCCTCCCAGGGTCAAGATTGTGGCCGAAGAGGTTGAGAAAATGTTAGACAGGGTATAATATCCCCTAGCGTGTCTCCGTGGGCTGGCCCCATTGTACTGGTACAAAAACCAGATGGTTCAATTAGGTTCTGTGTCGACTACCGTAAATTAAATGATGCCACGCATAAGGATTCGTACCCCTTGCCTAGGATTGAAGGCACTTTGGATAGGCTGGGTGGGGCGCAGTGTTTCTCCACATTAGACCAGCAGTTGGGTTACTGGCAGGTGCCAGTGGAGGGGAAGGATCAGCAGAAAACGGCATTCATCACTCCACAGGGGCTATTCGAACTCCGCCGCATGCCCTTTGGCCTCTGCAATGCTCCTGCCACGTTCCAGCAGATGATGCATGCTGTGATGCGGGGCCTTTCCCCCCTCTACTGTCTAGTGTATCTCGATGATGTGATTGTGTTTTCTCGCACCTTCGCGGAGCACTTGTGCCGTTTGGAGGCTGTGCTAACTGCATTACGAAGAGCGAAACTAAAAATAAAACCTAGAAAGTTCCATTTGTTGCTTGCCGAGGTCCATTTCCTAGGGCATGTAGTCTCGGCTAAGGGTATTTCCACGGACCCGGGGAAAGTAAAAGCAGTACAGGAATGGAAACAGCCAGCCACACTTAAGTCACTCCAATCCTTTCTCGGATTTGCGTCATATTATCGTCGGTTCATTCCGCATTTTACTTCGGTGGCCCATCCACTGCATGAACTCTTGAGAAAGGAAACCCCATTTGTCTGGGCAGAGGCGCATCAGGCAGCGTTCAAAAAGTTGTGCACAGCGTTTTGTACAACACTATACATGCACACACACACACACACGATTCAAATTGACTGTCTTCTGTCTTGTGTCCACTGAAAGTCGTTGACAAGCAGCTCTTACCTCGATTCTCGAATCGCTGGACCATTCCTCCTGTTCATCCGCCCTCCGAAAGCACTACAAAGATGGAGAGAGAGAGAGAGAGAGAGAGAGAGAGAGAGAGAGAGAGAGAGAGAGAGAGAGAGAGAGAGAGAGAGAGAGAGAGAGAGAGAGAGAGAGAGAGAGAGAGAGAGAGAGAGAGAGAGAGAGAGAGAGAGAGAGAGAGAGAGAGAGAGAGAGAGAGAGAGGGGAGAGAGAGACAGGGGAGAGAGAGAGAGAGAGAAAGAGAGAGAGCTGTGTTGCGACTCCGAGCTTCACGCTAAGTCAAGATCATCAGTCAACCCTATAGATGTAATGTTATTGCGTCATCAATGGAGGTGTTTTGCACTGGGGGGGGGGGGGGGGGGGGGGGAGGAGCACAAGCACTGGGTTTCCAAATCAAAACAACCTTCATGGAGAGAGACGGAGCTGTGGGCACGAAGGCCAAAGAGCATTGTCTCCATACTGTCATGTCTTCTTGTTGAACTCTTCCTCAGAAACCCGACAAGAATCGGTTCATCTGAGTTGTGTGTGTACGTGGGAAGTGAGCAAGAGGGGAGGTATGGAAAGAGCCCATCGTCATATCCGGCACTCCGACGACAAAAAAAGACAATTTAACGAAGAGTGACAAAGGGCAATTTTACTAGCATGGCATTGCATCACAAGATAAACAAACAACATTTAGGAATGTCTGTGTCGTACCTCTTTGACATAAAACAAGCCATTGCTGGTGAGTTGGTTGTTGCCGGTGCATCGCAGCACATCCAATGTGGCTTGATACAGCTGCTCCAAACTGCAACTTTGCTAAAGTCACACACACACACACACACACACACACACACACACACACACACACACACACACACACACACACACACACACACACACACACACACACACACACACACACACACACACACACACACACACACACACACACACAGTGACACACACACACACACACACACACACACACACCTCAGACCTCAGACATGCCCAGCGCGGAAGCGATGATAGCGAACAGCTATGTTGGACATAGCAACTTGCGCTGGGATTACACCATTCAACAGCTTGCAAGGCTGATGAATTGACCGCCACTATTTTCTAGCCTGGCATCCACCACACAGCTGACACACACACACACACACAGTGACACACACAGTGACACACACACATACTCAGGGCACGTTCACACACAAGCACACATACACACACACGCGCGCACATGCATCCACCCACACCCACATACCCACACCCACCCACATACAGTGCTGGCAACTGAAATCTGACCTCCTGGGTGTTCACTTTCTAGCGGCTTCTATTTCGGGTCTTTGCGATGTGAGCGCACCGCTCAGGGGGTCGGATTTCAGTTGCCAGCACTGTACATACAGACAGAGGCACAATGTCATGTACTCATACTGGTGAAGAGAGAATCATGTCGTTGTGGAAACTGAAGTGACACATAGCATTATTATTTTTCTGAACACTTTGAACGTTTCCACCTGTGTCTGCCTTCGCTAGTCCCAGAGGAGCGAACAAACGAAACACTGCCTATCAGGGTGTACGTTTTTTCCTCCCTGTTTCCCCAAAGCCAGCATGCTATGGAACTGTTTATTGCCATCTTACCGTATCTCCCAGGTAGAGTGGTAAAGAGGCGAGTTTCTCCAGCACCCCTACCGGCAGTGACGCCCGTTGCACAGCATGCGCCGGCTTACTGGCCGCTGAAGCAGCCCTGCTGCTCGTCATGGAGAATCGTCGGACTTGGCTGACTTTGTCGCGCGTTGCTGCGAGCGTAGACGTGACCGAGTTGAGTCGGTCTCGGCTTCTCGTCCTCAAGCCCTTGCTTTCGCGGCCTTTCAGCGAGCCGGGTGCTGAGCTTATGGCATTCCTGTCCATGCTGAATTTCGTCTCCGGGTTGAGCAAGGAAGTGCCGTCCACTCGCCTAGCCATGCTTTCTTCCTGGGGCCTCGAGTGAGAGCGGCTTCTTTGGCGAGGCATGCCGCCGGTATCTCCGCACTACTATCACACACAATGATTGGGAATTCTCCAAAATGTGCACTGCCCTTGATACGGAGCCTATCACATGAAGCCCATGGCAAGGTTCCAAGCAAGTTGATTTAGGCGGACATTTATGTTGCCTGCCGGGACTGCAGCAATGGAGTCTGAAGCACACGGGGAAACACCATGCATGCAGCACTTTCGACGCTACTCGTGGAAAAGATCTTTCCCATGGTCTTCCCGCAAAGCTAGGTAATAGTTTAGTGACACTGATAGACAATGCTCCTTGTGGCGAACGGTTCCTCACCCAGTCGAAGAGGTAAGAAGCACGGTGGAAAATTTCCTCTGCAGCCCGTAAACATGGTAAAGACTACGAGAAAAAATACGGATGCTGCCTCACATGCGCGGGCTACAACAACTAAACTAACTAAAAATAATTACTTGCTTGAAGTGGCTACAACCCTACATGGAAGCCAGTGAAACAGCGCTGCAGCTGCTAAAAATTAGCTTGCTACAATCAACAGCCCGGTTCACAAGTTCAACTGTGAACTTTGACCTCACCACTACCGTGACTACACTGCATCCGCCATCCAGTCGAGTCACTCAAGTAAGCGCCGGGCGTTGTGGAGCCCTAGACTTGCATTTCCCCCACATAACAATTCTGCTACATACATTATACATGTATGTAGCAGAATTTTATATAATAATCTTTATTAAAGGATCTCCCAGAGGCGATGGCCTGTCGAGGGGATCTCCTGATGCAAATCATGCAATAGAAATAAACAGTGAGGAAAACTACACGTGTTACAGTGTATGCTACATAAATTAGCAATAAACACAGGGCTGGGTTGTTAAAAATAAAACAATTATTTTTTATATGACTTGTCAGTTTGAGCACTCTGGCAAGGTACGTTCGGGCCTGGTTGGAAATTTTTATTTTCATTGCTATCAGGTTCGGCCTCATTTCCTCTGTGCTGCGCTGATGAGTTCACAAAGAACGAAACAGCATGCTGTCCGCAGATTGAGTACATTATACATGTATGTACATGTACATAAAATATCCACTTGAACAGTCGCGTTTGGTGGCACACTGGTGCCCGAGACAACCACCATCACCCTCCTTGGTGTGAAGGTGGACGCCAAGTTGACCATCAGCGATCACCTACGCTCCGTAGCCACCCGTGCACGCCAACGGCTTGGGGTCCTAAACAGAGCCGCCCACATACTCACCCCCGCCGGCCGGACGACCGTATACAAGGCGTTCGTACGACCAGTCATGGAGTATGCGCCTCTTGTATGGATGGGAGGTGCGCAGAGTCACCTCCGGCGTCTGAACAATGTTCAGCGCCGCGCGCTTCATGCTATCGGCCCTGGGGCACACCAAGAGTACATGAAAACCAGAGTGTGCAGCTCGGATGGGTTGCTGTCACGACGAAATTCCGTGATTACATCATTTTAGTGATGTAGTGCGTACAAGCAGGATTCAAGCAGGTCTCTTTCTGCACAACTGCAGCTCAGTTGTACGCACTACGCCATTTCCCGCCTAGATCTGGGCCAAATATGATGTAATCACGGAATTTCGCCGTGACAGACACCCATAGCAGAAAAGGCCCCAAGCTGCACACTCTGGTTTTCATGTACTCTTGGGCACACCTACCCAGCCTACTTTTTGTAGCCTGGCCATCCGCCGCACTGTTGCCTCGCTTGCCTGCCTGTAGATCCAAGCTGCACTACTTGCCTGGTCCTCCGCAGCTGCTCTCTGTGTTGCCACCGCGCCACGTCATCTCTACCAACCCCAGAACTCGCAGCGAGCACGGTGCTGTCAGTGGCCATGACCACCAGCTTCAACACCAGCTGCCTGCATCTGCCCCGCTGGCACTGAAGCGCTCGTTCCCACACTGCAGCATCAGCGATTGGAACTCCCTGTTCACACGAAGGAACACGTTATCTTATCTTTTCACTCCAAATACAATTACACCTGAAAGAGCAGCCTAGCTAGCTACACAACGCGAACCAAGGAACTACTAAAACCGAAAACATTCCATGTCGGTACACAACCGAAGACAAAAGGCAAAGATGAAGTAATTTATGCAGCACTGTCAGCTGGCAAAACAGCAGAGGCGTAGCCACCGCACACGCGCTGTTGTACGGCACGAAAGCTAGCCATGATACTATGCAATACAAATGTATGACCATGCACAGCAACAAGCAACAACACACAGCTAAGAAGTATATGCATGTAATACATGAACGGCCAGTTGGAAATAGTTATGACGCCACTTTGTAGATCGCCCTCATGAATAGAAAACCACAAGAGAGACAGGGAAGACTACAGCCTACAGTGTAGCTCAGGCCTTGATACATGAATCACTATTGCAGTATTGGCACAAGACAGAGAAAGGACTGCTCCAGCTATCAATAATAAAAGGAACCATTACTTCTAGTCTTAGTGATGCCATGCCAGAGAAATATTACGTACTACCGTCTGAACATCCTCCCCCTCGCAATATGCACCCAGATGTTGCATGATGCCTATCCTTACAACTACCAGTACCAAGCTAAGAGAAAAGTGAATCGAAAGGGCAAGTTCAGTGGTAGGAAGCTACAAAAAAAACAAAAACAATGCATGAATCATTAATGGGGGTCGTCACTGAGCAGTACCTCCATTCTGGCATGTAGGGAGAGCCGTCTAACATTCCAGTGGACAGACTCGAGTGATGGATCTCTTCAGAGTCTTCCCGCCCACTTGCATGGCCACCACACGCACATGTCCGTCCGGACCAGGGAAAACTTCCGTGACTCTGCCGAGCGGCCAACGCCCTCGCGGGGAGCTTGAATCCATCACCAGGACAACGTCGTCAACGGCCAGATCGCGTCGCTGGTGTCGCCACTTCATCCGCTGATTCAACCGTGGGACAAACTCTTTCAGCCAGCGATGCCAGAAATGGTCGATGAGCATTTGAACATATCTCCAACGTCTCTGCAGTTGACACCCCTTCTCGTCCGTTGTTGCAATAACCAGCTGGCCCTCGGCCATGCCATGAAGGAAATGGTTCGGAGTTAGCGGCCCTGGATCCTTCGGACTAGCCGATTGGTAGGTGATGGGCCTGGAGTTGACGAGGGACTCTGCTCCGCTGAGAGCGGTGACCAACTCCTCGTCCGTCACAGATGCGTCTCCAAGGATGGCGTGTAGAGCTCGTTTGGCGGCTCGAATCATTGCCTCGTGAACTCCCCCGAAATGAGGAGCTAATGGCGGGTTGAAACTCCATTTCACGCGTCTGCAGGCCATGGCTTTCCGGACGGTGGTATTGTTCAGTTGGCCAACAAGCTCACGTAGCTGGCGGTCGGCATTCACGAAGTTGCCTCCATTGTCCGACAGAACCTCCATTGGACAACCTCGTCGGTTGGCCATCCGGTTAAAGGCGTTCAGGAAAGAATTTGCATCCAATGCGTACGCCATCTCCAAATGGACCGCACGAGTCAGCAAACACGTGAAGAGGCACAGATAGCGTTTGTGGCGAGTCTTTCCTCTCCCCTGCATAGTTTCGAACGGCCCTCCGTAGTCAACGGCTACCCTGCTGAAGGCTCTCAGTGGCTCACACAATCGCTTTGCTGGCAACGGGGCCATGATTTGCTCTCCCGCACGGGCTTTTAGTCGTCGACACACCATGCAGTCTTTCTCCCAGTCACGGATCTCCTCCCGTGCTGCTTCGACAAGATAGTGATCAGAGAGAGCTGCCAACGTTTCATTCGTCCCGCCATGATGACGTTGCTCATGGCAATCTTTGACAATAAGCCGGGTGGTCGGATGTTTCCGGGGGAGAAGAATCGGGAAGCGCACATCAAACGGCAACCAGTCAGCCAGCTTGGTGCGACCATCGCAGCGCAATAGTCCGTCGTCGTCCAGTCGAGGCGATAACCTCGCCAAACGTGACTTCAGCGGAAGTGGTTGACCATTCTTCACTAGCTTCAGATCCTCCGCGAATGCCTCGTGCTGTGCCTCTTTGATGATGGAAAGGCTGGCAGCGTCCATCTCCTCGCCGGTTAGCTCTCCGCTCAACTCCTCACCTCCACGGCAGTTGGTGATGAAGCGAATTGCCCAAGCCCGTACTCTGACTACGCGCGTCCAGTCTGAGAAGCGCCGAGAGCACAAGCTGGGTACTTTCTCGGACATAAATGACATCACCTCGGGCTGTGCAGCCTTGCGAGCTTCCGCTCGGGCAGCTGGGTCTTGGCCACCCACGATCTTGGCTGGCCATTCAGATTCTTCTTTCTGCAGGAAGGCCGGTCCTTGCCACCACAGCTCAGTTGCAACCAGTTGCTCTACCCCAGCTCCCCGTGACGCCAAGTCAGCTGGGTTGTCGCTGGAGGGAACGTACCGCCATTGACTGGGCGACGTAACAGTCTGGATGTGGCTGATGCGATTCGCCACAAACGGTTTGAAACGTCGGCTGTAGCTGCGAATCCAGAGCAGCACAGTTGCACTGTCGCTCCAGAAAATCACCTCTGACATGGCAATGGTCATGATCTGACTGAACTTCCGGGCCAGCTGAAGGCCAAGCACAGCCGCCAGCAATTCCAGCCGGGGGATACTTTGTGTTCTTGTCGGCGCCACTCTGCTCTTGGCTCCAGCGAGACGAACGTTTCCCTCAGAGCCACGCTGCACGGTGGAGCTGTAGACCACGGCACCATACGCCACACTCGACGCATCACAGAAAACATGCAGCGTCACTCCACTGGCCACGTCCGGGATGAGACATCTTGGTACTCGAACTAAACTGAGCTTCGCCAGGTCATTGAACCACTGGCGAGCGCTGGTGTCGATGCCATCTGGAACCGGTTCATCCCAGTCAATACCAGCTACCCAACTCTCTTGCATGAGGATCTTGGCTTGGGTCACGAACGGTGCCAGAAACCCCAACGGGTCGAATACGGACGCGACTTTTGCTAGGAGGAATCGCTTGGTGATGCGTTGGTTGGTGAGGTCTGGCGGTTGAACGCTGAAGAAGAAGCAGTCTGCCTGACCGTCCCATGACACTCCTAGCGTCTTCACGGATGGTAGCTCTCCTTGGGATAAGTCCAGCTGGGTAGCGCGAGCCTCGGCTGGAATTACCCTCAGGAGCTCGGGCGAGTTGGACACCCACTTGCGCGGCGTCATCTTGGCCTCACCCCACAGATCCATTAGCTCCCGATGAAGAATCTGACCTTGTTCGACATCTTTGGTGCTGTCCATCGTGTCATCCATGTAGGTGGACGCGAGGATAGCTTCTGCTGCCAGGGGATGAGACGCCAAATGTTCCCGGGCTGTCTGCTGAGCAACATACTGGGCGATGAATGGTGCAGCATTGACGCCAAAGACCAGGCGGTTGAACTCAAAGTGCCGTAAAGGCTTGGCTGGATCCAGGTC